GGTCTATATAAATGCATACAGGGGTCTATATAAATGAATACCCCTGTAATCTGACTCACGAGGGAGAGCATTACCAATACTTTTATACTACTCGTGCTACACGAGTAGTCATATTCTATTAATATTTCGGCTCCGCCAGCCTTTCGCTCTTCGCTTGAAAGCATTTAAATTGAGGTATTTTTGCTATCTTTTTTCTATTCACACATTTTTAGCCACCTTACTAACAGTGGGGCACTCGAAGGCCTTTGACCATCTTTCACTCAATAAACTGATACTGAAACTAAAAAGCGGTATTGGTAGTAGGGAAGTCTGTCGCATCCTCCTCTTTAATTAGGTATGCAAAGGCCTGATTAGAAGGTTTAAAAGAGTGTCAAATATAACAAGAGGAAATTCTGCCAAATTTCTAAATCAATCTTTTCAAAAAATGTAGATTATCTGACTAAGGAAAAATATTTGGTTAAAAATACTGTTGCCACGCGGGTAGGGAATCTTCGATATGCAGCCTACGTGGACAATGTTATTATCAAAACTACAACAAACCCTCGTGCACATCACCAACGTTGGGCGCGAAACCGCCCTCGTCCCCGACGTTGCAGGCGTCAATTCCGTACTTCTTTTTTATTATCTTGGCCAAATGGTGGTAGGTCTCGGTACCCATGCGAAGGGCCTCGGAGAAGGATTTTGCGCCCGTCGGCAGGATCATAAACTCCTGCATGGGCAGTTTGTTGCCAGCATGTTTGCCGCCGTTGATCACATTGAAGGCTGGTACTGGCAGGCTGACGCGCAGGATGCCGGCCAGATTGGCTACATGTCGGTAGACTGGGACATTCTGCAAAAAGGATCATCAGTGCAAATATTAGATTGTTGTGTGGTTAAAAACGGTTTGCAAAAATGAAACAAAGTAGGAGGACGACGAGCAGACTATCCTTTAACCAGATAGCATTGCTGGTAAAGACAGGGGAGACTGAAATGGCAATTTCCGACATATAAGCCATCGTCAGCCAGACATTCCTAGCCCCTAATGGTGCACCAACCGAGGTTCTAACTCGCGAGCTTTTCGATCATATTCTAACCCTCTGACCATTGAGCCACGAGCTCGTTGCCTGGCCAGTTCACTTTGGGAGGAATGAGACCCAAGGCAAAGCGGGACAACAAACTTCCATTAGCGGTCGGTGAACGTTAATCAACGGATCTCGTATGCCGTCTTCTGCTTGAAAAAAAAAA